TCAGACTTAAAAAAACCCCATTTTCTATGCACCCGTGATTCCTAATGTGAGGTAGAGCCCTGCAGTGGGACTGGGATCCCATGGGTCTTGCAGGACCCGCTGCCATAATAGCAGGAGCAGGATAAAAATTCAAGAATCAATCCGGGAATGGGTGGGAGTGGGTATTGGGGGGGTGGGGTTGGGAATGGGATTAAAAATATAATCCTCCCATGCCACAAACACATGAACACCCCAGCCAGCAGCTGCCACTTTCCAGCCGCCCAGCTCTGAATTTCTGCTGGCGGCGGCACTGCCTTCAGAGCGGGGTGGCTGGGGAGTGGTGGCTCCTGGCCCCCCAAAATATAGAAGTCAAACTATGCCTATGATTAGCAGCCACCCTTTTATAAAAACTATCAGCTAACTGTGAACTTTAGTAGGCAGTAATAATGTTTTTTTTATTGTATTTTGTTCTTTAAGCTTAATGTGGCTTTTACATTACATTAGTAGTTTGAGAAAGTTTGGTTCAGTATTTATGAAAAACAAGTTTGCACAGTCAGCGATAAATACTCCTCCTCCTACTACTACCTTGTAAATCAGCGGTGCCTGTTGGCAGTTAGGATTAGTAGGGGTGGCTCTTTGGACAAGTGCAAATGTGAGAGAAGCCTATTTAGCATAATTTTGTCTCCTCTGTAGAATCTAGCCTGGATTTTTTATAATTTATTTATCTTGTGGCCAATATGTGGGTTTCCTCCATTACATTTGTGACGTTGCACTCCATATGTTTTATGGAAATATGCTTATGATGTGAATATGATGTAACTGGAATATGCTTTATGCAAAAGGTCTCTTGTAAGGTATCATAACAAAGGTTATAACCTACTGAATATACTCCTCCTATTTGTATGTATGTATCATTCTTGTATCTGAAGCTAAAAATATGAAGTATAACTCTGAGGTCCTATTGTAATTATGCAAAGGGTAGACCATTAATGCTGGTTTGGAATCTTGATGGCTCCCATTGACTAGGACAATTGGTTGTAAATGGCTCTGTTTACTTTCAAACCTTCCTGTGTATGCGTGGGCCAGCCCAGGAAGAATGGAGGCTGGGATCTCACAGGACATGTGATCATGTCACCTGATACTGGAATCAATCCTAAATCTGATACTTTTCCATTTAGAAGGAGGGTTGGGGACCCAGAGAGACAAAAGATTCCCGCCTTGTGCCAAAGCTATAAAAAGGGGTGAAGCAGGACAGAGGTGGCTGCCAGTCATGAGAACACCCCTGCTTTCCACCTAAGATGTCTGCTGGAACTAACAAGAACTGTACCAGGGGAAAGGATTGGGCCCAGACTAGGAAGGAGTCTAGTCTGTGAAAGAAGCTTATTGGAACATCTCTGAGGTTGAGATATTATCTGTAATCAGTTTCCTAATGTATTAGGCTTAGACTTGCGTGTTTTTGCTTTATTTTTCTTGGCAACTTACTTTGTTCTGTCTGTTATTACTTGAAACCACTTAAATCCTACTTTTTATACTTAATAAAATCACTTTTGTTTATTAACGAACCCAGAGTAAGTGATTAATACCTGGGGGAGCAAACAGCTGTGCATATATCTCTATCTGTGTTATAGAGGGTGGACAATTTATGAGTTTACCCTGAATAAGCTTTATACAGAGTAAAATGGATGTATTTGGGGTTTGGATCCCATTGGGAACTGGGCATCTGGGTGCCGGAGCTAGGTGACCTGCTAAGCTGTTTTCATTTAAAGCCTACAGCTTTGGGGGCGTGGACCAGACCTGGGTCTATGTTGCAGCAGGCTAGCATGTCTGGCTCAACAAGGCAGGGTTCTGGAGTCCCAAGCTGGCAGGGAAAACCAGCTCAGAGGTAATCTCAGCACGTCAGGTGACAGTTCCAAGGGGGTCTCTGTGACCGAACCCATCATAACATTATTTATGTCCATTGAGTTCAGTCATTGGCACAAGTGGGTGCATTCGCAGCTTTCCACGTCCTGAGGGTGTATTCTCTGGTACCATAACCCACTTTAGTGATGTGGAGTCACAGATTTCTCTATATTCAGTGATGAGATAAAAATAAGGGGTTATACAACTCGGGAGCCTCAGGGCCATATTCTCATCTCGCATTAATGTAAAGCTAGGGTGACTCAGCTGTCTTGAGTGTTTAGAATTCTTACTGCAAACTTGTGGTCTTTAAGCCACAGTCCTTGGAGAAGGGGCTAACATTACAACAGGAATTACCAGGAAGAATTCAAGATGATTCAGCCACATTTCCTCCTGGAATTACACCTTGAACTACTTGTACCTTCATAAAGATGGGCACAATTGAGCCCTTAATATTATCTAAAGATTCCAACATGTTTGTTTATTTATTTAATGCATCTAAGGGCTCAATCCTGCCTCAGTGGCAGTTGAGAATGTTTAGTACCTAGTAGTAAAATTGGAGGAAACTTTTTTGGTGAATAGTAAATTCACCGAAAAATGCATTGTCACAGGGTGGCACTGGCCTTTTGACTCGTAAGCTGCTTCCCAGTTGAGTTTCAAGGGATGGCATCTGAGCCATAAAAATGGGGAAACACTGAGATAGTGGAGGGTTCAGTCTGGAGAAGGGCAGGTGAGAGCTTCATGGGGGTGAGAGATTGGCAGGTGAGAGCCAGGAGACTATAGAAAGAAGCTACAGGAGGCTCCTGGGGGAAAGCTGAAGGTAGAAGAGCAGGAGAGGGGTTTGCTGGCTGATCCCTCTTAACCAGAGGCTGGCCAACCAGAGCTGGAGATGGCTGAAGGCCAGAGAGCAGTAGAGGAAGTTGCCTGCTGACTTCTAAGCTGGAGAGCCAAAGCTGAGGGCCCGAGAGGGCTGATGGCAGAGAGAACAGTGAAGGGATTTATCCACTGATGTCTCCATGCTGGAGAGTTGAAGGCCAGGGAGGGTGAGGGATGCTCCCCTGGTGAGGATGAACTCCAGCATGGTGCACTCCCTGGCTTGTAGTGGTTCCATTATATACAGAGTTTACTGTTTGGTTTAATGGCTCTCAGTATCTCAGCTGTAAAAATTGTTTCAGCACTCGTGGTCCTGGTTGAAAGATAGGAGAGGACTGAAGAAGAGCCCACCTGTGGTGGAAGATGCTGGAGCATGCTAGGTGCTTTGTCCAGGGCTGACCTCACGAGTGGGGACTGTCCTGGGCACCATGGTCAGGGAGTGCCATGGTCCAGAGGCAAGATGGGGCAGACCTCAGTTGCAAGGCTGTGGAAGGGAGCTTAGGGCAATGGGGCAGGGGAAGCAGTGGAGCCTGGGGGCAATAGAGGGTTTGGGAGCCTGAGGAGGCAGTGGGGGCCAGGGGGGAATGGGTGGAGAGCCCGCAGAGCTTAATTTGTTCCAGGGCTTGCCAGGGCTGAGCCCTGGCACCTCTAGGCTTGGCAGTTAGCCCCAGCACCTCTGGGCTTGCCGTGTCAGTTACACATCACTCAGCACCCAGAGGAACTTCCCAAGCTTTGGCACCTCTACTTGAGTCCTGGCACCTCTTGCATTACAAATTAAACACTGGGATCCGGGGAGGCATCTTGGGCCAGGAAGGATGGGTGGGGAGCAGGGATGATGTGGGGGATGGGTGGGGGGCCAGGGGAGGCAGCAGGTCCAGGAACAATGGGTGTAGGACTGGAAAAGGCAGCAGGGGTTGAAGGCAATGAGGGGATGGATGGAGAGGATGGGTGGGGAGCCTAGGGAGACAATGCGGGCAGGGTGGGTGGGGAATCCGGGGAGGTGGTGGGGGCTAGGGGCAATGGGGGTGGGGTGGGTGGAGACCCTGGGGAGGCAGAGGGGGCTGATGCACCAAAATGCAAGTTCGCCCAGGATTCCATTTTCTCTGAGGCCAGCCCTGGCTTTGTCAATAGTGTAAAGATTGTGGGATTTTAAGGACTGCATAAACTGGGTGTAAGAAATGGACTATGTGTGGGACTTCTAGTAATAAACTGGTCCCAAAGAGGGGAAGTATTGAGGCAAGAGAGCTGTTGTGGAGTTATTGGGGACTCTGAAGAAAAGGAAACTAAGGCAGTCCCTTGTTCTGCCACAAGAGGGCACTTCAGGCAGGCTTGCCTTATTACATGCATTTTGGGGGGCATTGAAAGTTATCTGCATTTTGGGTCAAATTTGGCAAATATTTTTGGCTGAAAAAAACTGCGAAGAAAAATTTCAGAAATGTCAAAAGGTTTTTTTTCCAACATTTTCCTAAATGAACTGCTTTGACAATGTTGATTCAAATCAATATTCAGAACTTTTTGTTTGACCCAAATTAGTATTTTTTGGTTTTTTGTTTCTCCAAAAATATTTTTTTTAAAATCCAGTTTTGGTTTGAAACTAACCAAAAATATTTATTTTTTTAAATTTTTCTGTTCGACCACCGAACCAAAAAATCAATTATTTGCTCAGCCCTATCTAGTGAGAGGCACTACAGACCTTGCAGGTTTGGCTCCAGATATTCTACCTGATTCTATTGGACTGTGAATAGTGGAATGTACATAGAAAAGAAATGTTGGGGAACGTATATACTAGGAGCTTAACTGATGTCAAATGATATTTTCTTAACAATTGATCTTTTGCTGTGTTAGGACACACCAGCCAGGGAAATTGGGTTCATGGGAGAATCTTTTTCATGTATTTTAGTATTGGTCTCTTAAATCATTTTGGTTTTTGAACAGTTTGAGAGACTTAGTATTTCAAATTGTCCCCAAGAGAAGAAAGCAGTGGGATAGGAAAGCCATGTTTGATCAAAAAGTTCTGTAGTGGATAAAAATGGCATATTTTCTAATTTAGTTTCATTCATTGCTAGGCAAGTTATACAAACATGTTCACTCATGCCAGGAGCCACACTGAAGGCAACAGGAATGCACATATGAAGAAACTATTTGCATAAGTAAACGTTTGCAGGATTCAATCCTAAATTACTAAAGCCAAACAACTAAACATTGCACAATAATTCAGGTACGATAAGGGAGTGGAGCGATTAAGGCAGAGGAGGTACACCTACTGTTAACAATATATAACAATCAGTAGTCAAAAGCTTACTGCCTTTAGGAAAGCAGATTGTAGGGTGAGACAGTAAATGAGCTAGCAGCAAGAGCTGCTGAGTAAATGAAAGAGCTGCTGCACTGTGGAACCTGATGTGAGAAAAACACAAGCAAATCTTTCCGAGTGGAGAAGCAGCTGTCCCCCAGGAGGAGCAAACAGAATCACTTCTAGAAGAAACATGTAAGTGATAGAAGAAATTTGTGAACTGAGAGACTGAGACACTCCACACTAGAGGCTCGCACATTCCATCTTAACCCATCTTCAGGGTAATGTAATTTAATACAAAACAAACAAGCAAAAAAATCCCCACACTAGTGCAAGGATAAGGTTACTCTAGTTAGAACTCAGCAGTTAGGAAATGCAAATGTTATGGTTGACCATGTAGCCTCAACTCTGTTTGTTTCATATACAGTGGGGACTGTTAAAATTAGACATAATATCTCTTTCTCCGATAACATATGTATGCAATATCTCAACTTAGTATAGCTAAGTAAGACAGGATCAATGCCTTCTGAACTGTGGGCAGTATGCAGACATTGGGAGGTGTGAGTGGAGAAGCTATGCTGGGGAGGGAAGTCTCTATATCACCTAAATGCTGGGGATGTGAGGCACTCCATGCTTGGTCCAAATCAGCTGGTGTAGAGGCTAGCATTGTCTATGGCCCAAGATAAGGATCACTTGATCAATTTATGGCTCAGAATACTAATGGTTTGGGAGGTGGATTAAATCCCCAAACTCCTGCAGAGTTCTCATACAAAATCTATTTACTTGGTCTTTGTGTGAAGGGCGGTGAATTTGACCAACAGTGACCAGTATTGTGTTGGGGTGTATATATAAGGAGTTACAATTAAATACCATGAAACTTTAGGTAAGTACAAAAACAACAAGGAGTCTGGTGGCACCTTAAAGACTAACAGATTTATTTGGGCATAAGCTTTCGTGAGTAAAAACCTCACTTCTTCGGATACATAGGTAAGTACGACACTGTCAGTTCTACATTAACATAACATTTAATACAATTAGGTATTTAGCACATGTAAACACACATACTTTCTTGACAGTTTATAGAAAGTCGCATGTCATGGTTGTTTAATTTGTAACATTAGATGTATAGGGCCAAATCTTCAGCTGGTGTAAATTGGTATAGCTCTTGCAAAGTTATATAAATATCAGGATATGGGAAGAGAACAGGAATGGTGGTGGGCTAAGAGGCTAAAGTGCAATATTCAACATGCAAACCAAGGTGCTTAGCAACCCACTCCTTTCTGAGGTCTTACAATAACTGGCATGCAGTAGCAATGCTCTTTTTAATTCAGGATTGGGTTTCTCTACGCTGCCTCACCAGTTCAGTACTTTTTACCTTATGCTTATTATGCACAGATCTTGGGAACTGTAGTACACAAGAATAAGTCAAAACCAGAAAGCAGGTTGAACCTAGAAATGTACAATTATTTGTAATGTGTTTGCTCAAATTAAAACTCAAAAGAATTCTCTGGGACATTCTGCTATGCATTTTTTTTTAAAGATGGAATCTCTATAAAACCTCATATCTAAATGAATGTGTCAAAATCTATCTGTGATTAGTGTCCTAGATTTATGTGCATAGATGTGTTTTGGTTTTGATCCCTATGCACTACAGAACTTTTCTATAAGGGGAACGTTAGAAGAGAACATATGACCTGACTGCTTTAGAGATCTGTTTTGTTTTGATTGGGGGAAAAGGGAATTACTTAGAAATCACAAACACAGGATATGAAAGAAATCCAGAATCTATGGGAACTAAGGGCCTGAACCAAAGCCCTTTGAAATCAATGGGAGTCTTCACTTCATTAGTGACTTCAATGGGCTTGTAATCAGACCCTCAGTACTGGTATTATAGTAGTAGAAACTAATCCTGACCTTCTGATGCATATGATTCAGCAGACCAACATTATCACACAATAGTGATTTGGAACTTCATCAGACTCATTAAAGTGCTGTTCTATTCTGAAGTGACTCTAAAAACAGCATTGCAAGGTTTTACTTATTCCAATTGAGTCCACCAAATGTGCTCAATTTATGAGGTTTTTTTTTAAAATCACCTTTTTGAAAATTGCTAGCCCTCCAAACTCATGCTGCATACTTTCCTTCTTGTATCATCACCAGTACCAAAGGTTCTAAAGGACTGTTTGAGGTATCAGTTACACTTGTGCAATCCCATTATCTTCACATTATACACTCAGTAACACCTGTGCAAACCCATTGTCTTCCCTGGGTTTGCACAAGTGTAACTAACTAATTAGAACTTTGTTAATTATTCTGTGGGCTAGGCACAAGAAAGAAGGGAATTCAGCTCATTCTCTCTCTATAGCAGTGGTCCCCAACGTGGTGCCTGCGGGTGCCTTGGCGCCCGCCAGGGCATTTATGTGCGTCCGCCTAGTGCCCAGCAGGGGAGAGAAGCCGCGGCCCCGTGCCTGATGGGGACAGAGAACTCAGGCTGCAGGCACGGTGTTCTCTGTTCCCGGCAGGCGCGGGGCCCGCCTAGTGCCCAGCAGGGGAGAGAAGCTGCGGCCCCCACGCCTGCCGGGGACAGAGAACTCAGGGGCTGCAGGCTGCGGGCGCCAGTGTCCTCCGTCCCAGGCAGGCACGGGGCCACGGCTTAAGCCGGAGAGAAGCCGCGGCCCCGCACCTGCCGGGGACAGAGAACTATGGGGTTGCAGGTTGTGGGCACTGGTGTTCTCTGTCCCCGGCAGGCGTGGGGCCCGCCTAGTGCCCAGCAGGGGAAAGAAGCCGGGGCCCCGCGCCTACTGGGGACAGAATACCCCGGGGCTGCAGGCGCTGGTGTTCTCTGTCCTCGTGGCTTCTCTCCGGCTTCTCTCTTCTCTCTGGATTACTATATTATGTAATATTAAATATGATGTTTTTTGTATTATTTAATGTACAAATACAAAATAAGCCTTGAAAAATTGTTGGCGCCCGCCACACTTTTCTGAAAACATGAATGTGCTACTGGCCACAAAAAGGTGGGGACCACTGCTCTATAGGCTTGTCTTTACTGAAGAGTTAACTCGAGTTATCTCTTTTTGAGCTAGCTCAGGTGAGAGCAGCCACGCTGCAATAAGTCTTGAGCAACAGAGTGGTTGTGTTAACAACCTACAAGTGCTACTCAAACTTTAGCCTAAACCAGGGGTCTCAAACTCAAATGACCACGAGGGCCACATGAGGACTAGTACATTGGCCCAAGGGCCGCATTACTGATACCTCCCCACCGCTGCCCTCAGCCCCGCCCCCACTCCACCAATTCCATGAGGCCCCGCCCCTGCCCTGCCTCTTCCCACCCCTTCCCTGCCCCCATTCCAACCCCTTCCCCGAAATCCCCACCCCAACTCTGCCCCCTCCCTGCCCCCAGTGGGGGCAGGAGGGGTGTGGGGTGTGGCAGGGGCTCAGGGCAGGGAGTTGGGGTATGGGGTGCAGGAGGGATGAGGGGTGCAGCAGGAGGTCGGGGTGCAGCAGGGGTGCGGCAGGGGGCTCAGGGCAGGGAGTTGGGGTGTGGGGTACAGGAGGGGTGAAGGGTGTGGCAGGGGGTTAGGGCAGGGGATCGGGGTGCAGGAGGGGTGTGGCAGAGGGCTCAGGGCAGTGGGTTGGGGTGTGGGGTGCAGGAGGGGTGAGGGGTGCAGCAGGGGGTCAGGGCAGTGGGTTGGGGTGCAGGAGGGGTGTGGCAGGGGGTCGGGGTGCAGGGTGCGGCAGGGGGCTCAGGGCAGGGGATTCGACTGCAGGAGGGGTTCGGGTGCGGGCTCTGGCCTGGCGCGCACCGGGGGCAGAGCAGACTCCCTGTCTGCCTGCCCTGCCCCCGCGCCGCTCCGGGAAGCGGATGGAACTTGGGGGAGGAGGGGCGCAGGGGTGTGTGTTGCTGTTGCTTCAGGCACCGCCCCCAGCATCTCCCATTGGCCGGGAACGGGCCAGACCCGCTCTAGGTAAACGCTGGGGGAGGGCGGGGGGGCTGCAAGGAGCTCGCGGGCCGCAGAAAATAACCTCATGGGCCGCGTGTTTGAGACCCCTGGCCTAAACCCTATCATGGACCAGCCAGCTCAAGGTAAAAGTGCCAGCACACTCAAATTAAGGGTTTTTGTGTGTGGACAGGACTTGAGTAAGGAGCAACACTTGAGTTAACTGTATAGTGAAGACAAGCCCTTAATAATGTTAGGCATGGTTAAAAGGAGTAACAGCAGTAACAATGTCTCTATTCTAAAGTCAGCAACTATGACACTGAAAACACACCAGATGTTTTTGAATAGGAGAATGCCATTTTTACAACTGCATTTTTCAGAATAGAAAAACACTCAAATTAGGACTATCCAAAAAGGGAGAGCAACTGGGTTAAGTTCATTGAGCTACTTAATTTAGCACTCCTCTGTCCTGTAGATGCATGCAGCTCCTCACAAAGACAAGGGAGGTTTGCATGCTGAGGTAATGGAGGAGCTGGCCCAAGGATCTGGACAATAGTTGTTGATTGACACGTCTAGTATAATAAGAATCATCTAGAGAAAATACTGTAAATCTGGACAGTGTCTTGTATTAAACAGGCAGGAACAAAAAGTGACCAGCCCCAAAAAAGGGCTTCCCACACTTAAGATCCCTGAGAATGATGGTTGTTATGAATCTTAAATAGAATTGAAACAGAAGTTGAAATGAGGCATTGAATAGGTACAACATACTATTTTGCCACAAAGTTAAGCAGAAAGTCATTGTTTAGCACCTACATCCAGAAGCTCTTGGCACAAGGTAGGTGTTTAATTACTTAGGGGTCCACAGATGAGGACAATGATTTGGGTATCCAAATTCTATAGCTGAAATCTGCAGTGCTACCATCTGTGGTTCCAGCCCCCCCAAAGCTATTGACATTCTAATATCTATTGCTTTGACATTAATCTTAGGTTCCGGAAAAGACTTCTACTTGCTGGAATTGTGAATGTTCGAAATATCATTTTGAACACATTGCAGCCGAAAGGAATAAATATACTAAGAAGGTAATTTACAAAGAGGATCATTTTTCACATTTGGTTTGGAGGTCTGGAGTAAACTACAAGACGTACAGACCTAGGAGCTACATTACAGCCTCTTCTCTATTTCTAATGAACACCTGATTCTTGATTCTTAATCTATTTTCCTTTTAGCCTGGTATTTCTGATATCCTGCTACTCAGATCTGTGTTTTCTGAATGGTTTTTGCTATTGGTTTATGCAATAATGAGGAACATTCGTAACATTCAATTACCTTTTTACTAAGACTTAGTTTTTGTTTGTTTAAATTTTGTTTCTTGATGTAAAATAAATATGGTTTAAAAGATCTTAGTATTCAAAATATATTTAAATATAAAAGAAATTTTATTGAGCAACATTTTTAAACTTAAAATATGTTGTTAAAATGTGCTAACAAAAGAACTATGTCAGCAATATATTTTAGATGTTTTGAAATTATGGTACTATACATATTTTAAAAATAGTTTATTACTTATTCTTAGTTTTTAAATACATACATTTAAATTGCTACAGTCATCTTCCTGGTCCATCACTCTGTTTATGTAACTAGAGTTGGCTGGAAAAATTCTGACAAAATATTTTTTGTTGGAATTTTCCGGTTCATTGAAATAAAAATATTTTGTGAAGACAGTTCTATTTTGACAGAGTTCCCACAGAACCCAGACATGGTTCTGATGGAAAACCTGCCTCTAGGATCTTAGACTTTGAAGCAGCCCACCATGCAGACTGCCCCAGAGCAGGGGTTCCATTTCTTTTTGGGAAGAATTTTGAAACTTTTGGTTTTTCTTCTTTACCAGGATAAAACCAAATTTCTAAATATTCAAATCATCAAAGAAGTACCTTTCTTCACCCAGTTGTATATGTAACCTCCTCCCCCCTTTCTTTAAGTCCCTCCATGGACTCCCCCTCTTCCACTGCATCGAATATAACCTGTTATCTCTACTTTCAAAGCCTTCCACAATCTAGTCCCACCATACATATCTGACCTTATCATAGGATCTCCCACCTTGTGCAGCTGATGATACTCATGCTTCTCAGACAAGTCCTTTCATGCTTTCTCACATGTTGCCCTTTAAGAGTGGGAGAAAAACTCCCAGTCAATAAAAAATTAATAAAGCCACTTCCTTATCCTCAAAGTCCCTCCTTAAAACTCACCTACATATAGAAAACTGCAAATTGATAATGGCTAAGGAGGAAGTGAGCTGTGATCACTATTACTGACGGACAAAGAATTGGACACATTCTATTATATTTCTTAACCTGTCTCTCACATCACATCTTGGTCCACTTCTTTGTCTCAACCACGTGTTATAACTCGTCTTTTAAATGATAAACTCTCCAAGATAGGAACTTTCATTTATATGTTTGTACAGTGGGGCCCATCCTGGTTGAAGTATTTAAATGCTACCTCATTGTGAATGATAAATAGTAATAATGATTTCCAAGATTATCATACGGTTGTTCATTGTACTATAAAGTATGATTATCAACATAAACGATATTAGTCACTGAGATAGGCAGTGAACAGTAGGACTGAACACTGGCTCTGTGCTACATGACAAGGGTATCTGAAATTCACTCATGCATTGTTGGGTTGTTGTTTTTTTGTTCATTTGACTTTTAAAACAAAATTATGTCTTGTGGGGTGGAGAGTGCTTCCAGTGCTCCTGCAGTGGTGGAGGGAGGAGCTAAGCCTGTACAGTGCATACTGCTTTCAGGGCTCGTGGATGTGGGTGTGTGAATACAGAGGAATGGGTTTTTGCAACTCCTTTAAAAAACTAGCATGTGTTTCCTTCAGTGCTGTCCTGGTGGATCTGTCCAGAAGGTGAGAATGGAGTAGGGTTAAGAGATTCTTAGTAACACAGTTCAGTTTAGAATTTGAAATATTAATAAAATCGGAAATACACAAAGCTATTAAAAATTCTCTGTAATGTATTGCATTGTGCAGTCAGTCACTTCTAAAGCAGGGGTTCTTACAACAAAATTTTTGGTGGCCTCAAAGTGCAGCCACCAACTCTTGCTGGTGACAATTCTGACAATTTTTCCTAAAATTCTTAATTAACTTTAGGAAAAACAAATAAATATACATACATATACGTGTCCAAATCATTATAATTTATTTATGTAGGGTATTTTTTTGTAGACTCAATAATAAAAATAATATACAGTTGTCTTTAGTCTTCACTGGACCTAAACAAATAAGGTGCTTTGCACATTCTTGTCTTTTGTTGTTGTTGTTTCTTTAGCTTTTTTGGTTGCTTTTTTTTAACTTGCTAGCTGGTAAGTCTGCTGCTGTGAAAAGTGATATTTGTATGTTTGTTACTATCACTTTTCACAGCCTCCCAGCTAGCTACTAAGTCTGCTGTGAAGAGAGATATTAACAAACATACAAATATCAATTTTCATGAGCAGACTTACTCACCCCATCAAGCTTGGGGACAAATTAAGCCCCGGATGGGGAGGTGGGTAGGGAGGCAGCAGGGTCATGGGGGGATAAATGAGGGGCCGGAGGTGGCAGCGGGGGCTAGGAGTGATGGGGTGGGGTGGTGAGCCGAGGACTGGGACCTGTGGTTGTGGTCTGGAGCCTGAAGCCCCACGACCGGATCCTGGGGTTCCATGGCTGGGGATGGGGCCTCTGGCTGAAAGAGGCAATGGGGCCAGAAGCGATGCTGGGAGGGGTGAGCCCAGGACCAGCATGGTGGCACCTGCCACCATGTGGCCAGGGCTCCGCAGCCGGAGCCTACCATCACAGAGCTGAAGCCTGAAGCCCGAGCTCCACTGTCCCCAGGAAGGTGGGGAATTCACACCAGCTCCCTGCTCCTCCAGCGTTTGTGGCTCCAGAGGGGGGCAGGGCCCAACCCCTGCTGGTGGCCCTGGAGGAGGAGCCACTGCTTTGCCACCACAAATCACTGGCCAGGAATCTGTGACTGCAAAAAACTGCTGGTGGCTGCATTTGAGAAATGCTGTTCTAAAGGCTCCACTCATTGACCATTCAGAGTTCTGCTCATGGAGACCCTGCAGGCTGCTGAGGTTTAGCTACTACATAAGTTCTTTCTCAGTGGTGAGAAAGAGATGGGAATCCTGCACTGCTGCCTGGAATATCTGGCATTAGGAGAAAAGTAATACTTACTGGCATTATTCTAATGTTTCTAAAACCATTTTAGTAATGTTCATGAATCATTGGACACCAAAGCTTTTTGCTCCCAATTTGGATTGTCTGTGGGGTTTTTTTTTAACTATAAATATGAGCATTGTTGCTGACATCAATTTTTACAAAGTACTGCACTATACCAACTACACCAGCCAGCAGATCTGGCTAGGCACACAGGAGAGCAGATACTGCAACTTCTCCAAGTGTGATGCAATGGGCTTGCAGCTGTGCCATCATTTACACCTGTGCAACGTGGGCATAAAAAGCTCCCAAATTCAAAGCCTCCACTCATTTACGATGCTATCACTGGTGTAATGAGGGGAGAATTCTGATTCTATAGCATTGTGCATCCACCTGGCACAAGCATCAAGGACTACAGAAGTGTGAGGCAATGGAAGATCAGTCTCATTGTGCCTGAGTCAGTCACAGGCCTCCTGGAGCAGGGTCTTAAAGGCTCAAATGAACCCTAAATACTTGAAGTAGCCAGTTGGTTTTTGTTCTGGTGGCCACTGGTTTTACGTGTGTGCAAAGGCAAGTATACGTTGTTTGCAACCCTGCAACAAACTTCTGTGGAGGGGTAAATTTCATCCTTGTGATAAAGATTCTGGTGCTTTGACAACTTTTTTTTATTGTTTGTAACAGGTGCTAGATTAATAGTACTTGGAACTAAGAGTCTCTTCCCCTTGTTTTTAATCCCTTTAACAGGTATAGTACAAATATCAGCAGTGAAATCTTCCACATACTGTATCGCCAACATGCTCACAATTTATACTCATACAATTCATGTCCGTGACTGCCGATAACAGTTCAATTAGTGCCCAGTGTGATGATGTATTTGGTGATATTAACTTTATTCTGTAGATTTGGACTGAGATTTCATAATCTACACCATGTGAAATGAGAATATCAGCCATCAGATAGGAAATGCTTTCAGTCACTAATGTGGTCATATTAGAACTAGTGACCAAGAGGCGAAAAGGCTCTCCATTCCCAGGAGCCATATAATCTCTCCGTTTTGTAGTATGTAGTAGCTGATTTTTAAAGGTACTCTATAGATAACTTTTTTATAACTGTATCTTCTGTCTTAGAACACTGACAGATAAACAGAACGTCTCAAAAGAATCACTGACTTATTCTGAGAAGATCCAAGAAAAAGGCAAAGAACCCCCAGGTAAGCAAATAAAGGATATTTGTTTGAAAACTTGGGTCATTGCAACTTGTTTCAGTTGTTCCAGTGATAGTAGGGACTGGAGAAGTCATGATATTCTGCATGATTTATTAAATAGGGAAAGAAACATGAATTGAGAGAGAAATTTGCATTAGTAGCATATTATAGGTAGTGGTAGCTGCTCCATATTTAAGGTCTGGTTGAGGGATCCTTTTCTAGTAATCTCTAGTGTGTTCATTTGGCCTTTGTATATTCTTGCAAATTGTATTGAATAAAGTTCAAGGCTGGGTGTGACATGCATGGCTGATGGGATAGGGGGGGTGATGAAGAATGAAAATAAAACTTGAACTGCGGTAAATCAGGATGACTCAAAACTGCTAGAAGGTTTGTGTGAACCCATGTGATCAGACCAATTTCACCAGGCTCTAGAGTGGCCTTCATCTGGTTTGGAGAGAATTACTACATAAAATTGAAAAAACTAATCTAATTGTAGGCAGAATCTCACAGGGATCCCCTGATAGCTTTACCACTGCAGTCTGTTCAAAAGTTTTGAAATAATAGGAAACCTTATAGGATTGTGTGTGTTAGGCAATGACACTAGGCTGAAAAGATGAAGAAATGGCAATGCTCCACAGGAATCTTATATGCAGATTTTTAGCTACAGAAGCCATTCTAAGCTCACACAAAAGGATTTTTATTTAACAAAGGCATGGACAGCTGGCAGATTCATTCTGTAAAGCCAATTACAAACCAGAATAGTCAAATGTGATCGCTAACTGGCCAATGTTCAGAGTTCAGAAGTATTTGATGGGACCTTTTGGGACACAAATTACATGTATAGATAGTTACTAAGGCTCTGATTTAGCCAAGTACTTGACATGCGCCTGACTTTAAGCACAAGTTGTCCAAATACCTTGCTGAATCAGGGTCTTATGTAAGTTTTTGTTAGCTTTGTTCTGCCATTTGTGTCAATGAACCTGTAGCAGGGTCCAGAGTCCATGTTAACTTTCTGTTTGACAGATAACAAACTTCATGCTTTGAGATCATACACAAGTACAAGTGCTGAGTCACAAGGCAAGGTTGGGGACTGAATGCTCAAGAATGTTCTCAGAAGTTATATAGGAAAAAACTATGACAGTCACATGGTAAGAGAAGAAAGCTTTTAAGAAGGGAGAGCATCACACCCAGTTGTTACGGTCTAGGACTAGGTTGTATACCTAGACAGTAGGAGGGAATCCTGTCTGTTTTCTAGTAGAACACTTTTGTGAGTTTTTCTCTTGTTGTAATCAGTGGACACTGAAAGTTCAGAACTATAACCTTGAGGGATAAAACTGCTGATTAAAAGATGGATTCATTTTTTATTGCTGAGCCAACAGATCCATTCCATCTTGTCTACACAATCCCACAGGCTATGGGGCGAGGCCCAGATTTTGATATCCACTGAACCGATGTAAATCCAAGTAACCACTGAAATCAGTGAGAGTTGCTTACTGGCTTAAAACTTATGTAAGTGGAATGAGAATGGGGTCCAATTCTAACATAATTGGCCTGATTCTCCTCTCATGAATGCCAGTTTTACATTGGTGCAACATAATTGACTTTAGTGGAGTTACTACTGATTTACCTCAGAGTGGGACCAAGATCCAGTTAAAATTTGTCTTAATTGTAAGAAGCCATCCAACTTGACTAATGTAATATTATAAGATTTGTTTTTAACTTATTTGCATCCCTTCCCAATTCCCCTTTTTTCGTAGGGCTACAGAGGTTCTCAAACTGGGGGTCGTGACCCCTCAGGGGTCGCAAGGTGGTTACAGTGGGGTCGCAAGCTGTCAGCTCTGTGGGGCTGATAGCCCCAAGCCCCTATTAAATTAAATTACCCTCCCTCATTTTTAATTTATAAGGGGGGGAGGTGTCACACACAGAGGCTTACTGAGTAAAAGGAGTCACCAATACAAAAAGTTTGAAAACCACTGGGCTACTTACAGGGCCGGCTCTGGCTTTTTCGCCGCCCCAGGCGAAAAAGC